ACTTTATTCTAGGTATGTGTCAGTTTTTTGCATTGCACATGGTCCAGAAAGTAATTAAGTTGATTTCGTTCTACTTATCTTTATTCTTTGTACTTCATTTGGAGATGACAACTGGTCTGCTCATTGGTGATATAGGTGTAAAGATGCACCTTGGGCACGAAGGTCTATAGTAATCTCCCAAATTGTAGGTCAGGTGATAACTCAAGGTAATAACCTTCCTTAGTTTTGAATGGGAATAAATAGTCACGTGAGTGTATATGATATATGGGCATTTCATATGCTTTCTTCCTGCTTTAGTGACATAGAAATTTTAACCTGTTGAACTCTTCTGCCTGAGAGGAAATTGCAGTAATATACAGTATCTGGGTTAAAAGGATTGACTTTGATATTATTTGTTGGTCGATTATGACATTGACATAAAATAGCTGATCAATACTGTTGGGGGAACAACGGTCTCAAGGTAATGTCATTGAGTGAACAAAGAAAGTGAAATTACCTATTGAATTCAGTCACGCTTTCTTTAGCCTGTTACTACTAGATTTTAAAGTGAATACTTCTGCCAATAACAATATGTTTAGTTATATGGAGATTGATCCTTAACAACTGGCATTTGATTTGCGTAAGTACACACACACACACACACACTGTGTTTACGTTTATTTGATGTGATAAAGATTATGTTAATTTATTCAAATTTGCCCAGACATAAAAAACTAAGTAAAGTTATATATTACAGAACACTCTTCTTATTTCTTGATCGAACCTGCTGTTATTTGTGAGTTTGCATGTTTGATACTTGTCGGGAAATTGTTCTTAGGTGAAAATACCACAGTCTAACATTACCGATTCAACAAAGTAATGGAACATCACTTGAAGGAATCGAACAGTTTGAAAATAAGCCCTAGGTGAGTAGAACTGTCCTGATCAAATCATAACTTTGGTAAAGGCAACTGTCCAGTACCAGTACTCGTATTGTGTTTGTGAAATTAATAAAGACTGTTTTCATTGTGATTAAATTGAATGTATATGTACATTATTATCAATAAATCTACACCTAGTGACTGGGGAATAAGGAAATCAAATGCTCTAGTATATCCTAAATAATTGGTGTTGAAATAGCTGTTTTGGATGTGAAAAATAAAGATGTTAGATATGACTTTACTCAGGGAAGACATAAACCAACTTATCTTAAAACGAAATGTCCCTATGATGTTAATGATGATAATATTGGATTTCAACCAAGGCAACAAGACATGGCTGAACAGTTTTCATTGCAATAGAGGACAAACTCCAAAGTTAAGTGGGTGTTCAATAGGGCAATACACTGAACAGATAAGAATCAGTGATGCAGACTTCAGATTTCAGAAGAATAGGTGATCCAAGTCAAAGAACAACCACATTCTTTGGAAATATGACAGTGAGAGAATGGCCAATTTGGTAACTCCAGAGGAGAATATTTCAGCGAAAACTCTACCTGTTGAGGAATACAGGGCTCCCATCGAAACTACTACTAGAGGATCAATAAGGATAGAGCCACTAGTGGATTTACTTGATCACCTATCAAGGAAGAATTCCCCCAGCAACAGGAAAGACAATGATGACAAGGGACAAGAAACCATTTCATCTTTTTATCGTGGAATTCGGAAGAGGAAACAACAAAAAATACTTGGTGAATGATCAATTTATTGTAGCTTTTTATTTTTGTATTACAATTGTTCAAGGTACTTCAAAACCAGAAAGGGGCAGTGAACTACTGGAACAGTATTCTCTCAGGACAGTTCTCTGTCACACCAAGCATGATGACAACGAAATAGAACTGTGTAGAAATAAGGCTCTGTACAGACACAGGAAACCTTGGTTCCTTTGCTTTGTGATAGCATCACCTTGAGACTGGTCATTCTCCCATTATACGTATTGGATGTAACATACACATACATCAGCCACTCAGCTACCAAAGGACTTTATAATCATTGATCTTTCAAACACAGATATATTCAATATCCTCTTGGGCAGAGTAGATATTATCTGCTACAGAGAACAAAAAGACACAAAAGTAACAAGAACAAAGCAACTTTAATAGTTTTGTGGAACACATGTTTATGATTAACTGCATATAAATTAACTAATCGAATTTTTTTTTTAAAACTCACATATTAGTAAAAGTAAATAGGAAAATATGATATAATTGTACATCACAAAGGGAAAGAGAGATGTGATATGTTAAACAAACCAAGTACTTCTCCTTTTAGTTTATTGTTGCGACATCGGGGTCACGTGACCTAGTAACACGTCATTGACTTCTAGAAATATCCTGTTCCTTCATGAATGCCCTAGCGTTTACTACATATGTGTTAGTCTATACTTATATAAGACGGTCACAACGTGACGGAACAATGTGTAATTGAACTGACTATTGTTGAAGTCGAGCACGTGAGATGTTCGTTGAGAACTATAGCGTTTGTTATAGCGCGACTGTTGAAATTAAGTGTATCGCAAAGTTATATTCACATAGAATAAACCAGTTTTATTTAAGAAAGGACTTGTGTCGCTAAAGTTTCGTCGGAACGAATTTACGGAAAATTAATTAACGAACGGAGACGTAACATTATAAAAGTGAATATTTTGTATTCACATGAATTTTCTTTCACACACATATAAATGTGCAGGTTTTACAATAGATAATATGGTTGTAGCATGCAGCTCAATAATAAATGCTTTACTTACTCATTGATATCATTTTTCTCAAATTACCACTCAAATTCTCTTATAAAAGACGTTGTCTTAGAATTATTTAGTTTCTATAGTGACGTCAACAGTGTGTTGTGATTAAGTGTAACATGGAGGATATGTCTTCTTTTTATATTTGGTAATTATTTTCTCTAAGGCTAGTACAATTTGATTTGAGGTTGGTATCAATCTTAACAGGGCCGATGGTATGGGGAAGGGCAGTGCAACCCCCAAGTTTCACTCTGGTCCACCCTATAGTCCATTTTACGTAGCGGTTTAAAAAATCATATTATCAATATAAAAATCGTATAATATTTTAAATTCACCAAGAAGAATCAACGCGGGTTGTATAAACGTGTTTACTATATAACTTTTCCTGCAAATCTTTATCACTGTATGGTGGCCCTGACAAAAGTTTCACTCCCCCCCCCCCCAAGGGAGAGGAGCTGGAATTGGGCCTACATTTTAATGTGGTTAAGAGCTCTATCTATTTATAGAACAGAGTTGTTTTATGTTTTCGTTTATGCACCCGCTTTCATTATGTTTGAATAAACAAAGTTTTCTTTGCACTTTGTTATTACCCCGTGTTTTGTCTCTTTCTTCTAATCAGAAGACATGGAATTAACAAAAATTATGTACAGTATGAAGTGAGAATGGATCTGTTCGAAACACTTACTAAGAATAATGGATTTGGTTAAGTATTATTGACTCTGGTGCAGAATGAATAGGTAGAAAGCTAGAAAACAATAACTCTCAAACGCTAGTAACGTTCCTCGTCTGCCATAGGGCGTTATAATGTAACTATTACTCCCAATTTTTGTTGATGAAGAGTTGTCCAAGAATTGTTTGGCGTTGGGTTGTGTTGAATAGCTGTCTTTCATTTAGTTTATAACTTCTAAATTAAGGACGGCTAACACAAATAGCTCTTGAGAAGCTTTGTGCGAAATTAAACAAATAAATAAGTATCATTTATTCTAAATTAAGGACGGCTAGCACAAATAGCCCTTGAGTAGCTTTGTGCAAAATTCAACAAATAAATATTATTTTTTTTCTGAATAACCTTCAATACCTTTCTCACAACTCAAGTCAAACCAAGTAATATTTCGTTTGCTATTTTTTGACTACTTAAAATAGAAGTGACATTTATAATCTTCTAGCTGTCAAGAATTTTACTAGTGATTTGTGAAATATAGCAGTCAAAGCTCCATCGTTTTCTTACAATTTTTATATTACTTTTTTGGTTTTTTTATCACTCCCTCTATGGAAATGTTTATGCGTTGAGTGGCGGGAAATATACAAGCTGCAATCAATATCTTTCATCTAATGATACTAGTTGTGTTCGACTTGCTCTATTAGTGTTATATCTTTACTACAACTATTATTAAGTAAGGAATACATTTAATTATTGGGAAAGAAAACAACAACTTAAATAAGGTAAGGTTAGAGCACCAATGTTTCACGGTTATGATATTGATAGATTATATGATGATTATTATTTAATTTTAAGTTACCGTACAAATCTGATTAGTTGATCGCTTACTAGCCAGATTATAAATGAAAATAGTTTAAAAAAATTAAATTGTGTAAATTGTTTTATTTCATGTTCAACTTTACTCGTTTTTATTATTACTATTAGTACCTAGGACTAACTATGGATATAAATAATGTAAATTCAATTCATTTGACTTAATGTATTATTAATATTAATTATTGTGTAAAAACCGAAAATGTTTCTTGAAAATTAAATTTATTTATTTCAGGTATCTAGAAAATATGCGTACTTGGTTGTTTATAAACTTATGTTAGTTAATTTTGAAAGCTCTGTTATTCTGAATGAATGTGATTTATTAAATTATTTAAGGTTTAACTCAATTTCTCAGTTCCATTCAAGTAATACTGCAAAAAGTTTTATCGTAAGCTGTTTTAACTTTAGGAATTAACTAAACTTGGTTTAATAATAAGATTAAATATCTCAACTTCATTAATGTCAGCTTTAACTTAATTATAAGTTAACCTGTATAAGTTATACATATAGCCATCCATTGTAATTGTAACTTTTAATAACAGTTTTATGCAGTGAATGAATGCTTTTATACGTTTTTCCTTAGTCTAAAACTGTAACACTACCTGTGTAACATCAGTTCAAATTTTAGGTCTTACATCTAATATTTGAACACAAAACTTGCAAGGCTTTGAGTTTGGACAGTTTTATTGATTTTATTAAATTTGTATAAGATGTGTTTTTGCACAATTCCATTCTATACTTAGTACAGAGATGTCACATTTGGTTGTACTAATTTATTTTTGTTTGCCACTGTTATTACAAGTACCATGTTATTCCATTCAAAGATCTCACATACAAGAAATGTTATAATAGACATTAACAGATTATTGTCAAACTAGACTTTGGCACAGAGTCACAAAAATTGCCAAATGATGAATTTTAAGCAATTCCTTAAATAACGAGGCAGAACTACTAAATACAGCCTAGTGTAATTGCTAAACTGCAAAGCTACTTATTGAGACAGACTAGATGTTGAAGATTTTCAAACATAAACTTAATTTACATTCTTTGGGATTAGCATCTTGACTTTCAAACTCAAAGGGTATTCAAATCCCTAAGACATTGCTGTTTCTTATTTCTTTAAATTAATTTTGTGTCTGTAATTATTTTACAAATTTAAACTTGCATACTTGAAATTTGATGCTTTACAATGCCATAATAGATTTTACTCATTTGTGAATGAATAGTTTTTTGCAACTTGTGTATCATTAATGTGCTGTGTGATGCTTCAATACTTGTTGGATGTCTGTTCAGGAGTGTAAATCATGTAAAACTGAAGTGACAGCTCTAATTATTCACCCCAAAATGGTGAAGAAATGGACTTATAATAAATGTATAGGCAAGATTTTTCAATAAAACATTTCTGTACCTTTGAAAAAAAATTCAGTAAGCATTTTGTTAGAAGAATAAGAGTGTCTCAGCTGAAGATGTCTCCTACTCTGCCAAAATTTATATTTGTGCTCTCTAGTCCTACCATTCTCACTGTTAAGTATGAAAAAAGATGAGGCATCAACACCATCAATTCCCTTAACAATCTGAAACACCTCAACCAGATTCCGCCTAACTCTTCTTTTTTTCAAGAGAAAACAATTTCAGAGGTCTTAACCTCTCCTCATATGACAACTCCCTCCATCCCAGGCACCATTCTATTTGTAGTAGACCTTCTCTGAACCCTTTACAACAATCTAATGTCCTTCCTAAGGTAAGGAGCCCAAGACTTGTATTCAATATTTCTGTAGATACAACCTAAAATCCCATTTATCCTACCATTAGCAGCAGCAGCACACTGCTTGGATAGGACAACAAAGTGATCAACCATTACACCAAGATCCCTTTCTTTCCACTGCAAAGGTTATTCCCATCCAAATTATACTTATAATTCAAATTATGATAACTCACATGCATTATCTTGCATGTATTATAATTAAAACCCATCTACCATTTATTTGCCCAACTCACTAAATGATCTAAATCTATTTGTAAAGCAGCATCCTCCTCACAACCAGCTACACCCTAGATCTTAATATCATAAGCAAATTCAATTAATTTATTGACCCTTCCTTCATCTGTGTCATTGATGTAATCAAAAAGAGCAAAGGTACTAAGTCTGAGCCCTCGGGTATCTCACTTGTTATATTATTTAAGTTTGACTGAACCCCATTTATAACAACCTTCAGCTTTCTTCCATCTAGCCACTCTTCTATCCAATTAGCTAACTTATCCCCCACACCTTTATATATATTTTTACCAGCCTTTTGTGTGGCATTTTGTCAAATGCTTTCTGAAAATCCAGGTACACCAAATCTGCACCCTTACTCTCTTCTACATAAGCAGTATCTTTTTCAAAGAATGTCAAAAGATTAGTAAGGGAAAATTTTCCCTTTGTGAAATCATGTTGACTATTCAAGGACTTACAAAAATAGTACAAGTGGCTCACGTATCCAATATTTCAAAACCCTTGGGGGAATATTATCTGGCCCAAGAGCTTTATAATTTTTTAAACTTCCTAGTTTTTTCTTAACAAGCTCGGAATTAATGCAGTCATATTGTTTGTCTTTGTTGGCATCTATCAAATGTTCAAGATGAGGAATACTGCTTAAATCTACATTACTAAAAATTGAAGAAAAAGTAGAATTTAATAACCCAGCCATCTTATAATCACCAGATATGAGCCTTCCTTTAGCATTCCCCGAAGGTCCTACCCCCATCCTAACATTTTGTTTACCATTAATGTATTTAATGAAATCCTTACTGTTAATTTTTATATTTTCAGCCAACCTTTTTTCATATGTCGTTTTTGATGTCATAATATTTGTAAAGGCATTATAATATTTTTCATTGTTAATTGGCTGTTTATTAAATTGGTTAATTAGTCTGTGATAAATTCTGCATTAAAATATAGTTACATGAGATTTTATTAGATAAAGCATAACCAATATTTCAAAATGAAACATGGCAAATTGCTCATTATTTTAAAAACAAGTCAGTAAAGACTCAAAAGGCACATTTGAATATGCTACATGAACACGTTTGTAAACTAATGCTACAAGACTGGACTTTGAGGCAGAATTCAGATGTGTAAAAAGTGTCTATCTCCAACTGCCACAAGTACTCCTAAAGTAAGTGATAAAAAGTATGTTTGATAACATGATTTAAAAAAATGAATAAGGATATTTATCCTAAAATATCACCACAACGAAATCTGCTTTGATTCATAGTTTTTAAGTTAGATACTTGTTTGGTAGTCTTATTGTCTTTCACAAATAAAACAAATTCAGATGTGTGTGCAATTATTTCATAAGCTATTTAATTAAAATGTTAACAAGTGTCCTCAGCACAGACCTATTTGTTTTTTTTTTTACTTTATTATGACTTTCATGAAAATTGTTTATCAAAGACAGAGAAACCTCCTAATATTTGATGTTATGTTAGCTTTAATTTTCAGTCAGTTCAGATGCATGAATGTAATTTGCCTCTATACAAAATATTTGAATATTTTGTATAGTTAAATTCTACTAAATATTAGTTCATCATAACAGTAGAGGTTTACAAAAGTCATGACATGATCCCAAAACTTACATTTTGAATTGATTTAATACTTTCATAATTTAATAACTCAGAAATTTGAAGTCTATGGGATACCTGCTCATCCAGCTTAATTTTATTTTTACCACAGAATTAATCCACAAAAGTAGGGACTATAAAATGGTTCGTACCAAAGGTGACAACTGTGCTAAAAAAGGTAGGGAGAAATCATTATATGAAAGCTGTTAGTTATGATTGTTATGTACTTAGGATTTTTGTGTAAACAAACGTACATTAACAATATGAACAGTCAGCTGACTGTTTAATATATTTCTTATCAATGATTTTAACATCTGTCATTTCACATCATACAAAAGAAATCAAAGATGACCTGAGTGCTACTGTAATAGAATATAGTTTCAAAGTATGTTAATATACTTACTTTTCACATAATAACAGTCTTGCTGTGGAATCTCGATCACTGCCTTTACTCCCGAATTTTACCTTTTTAATTTTTCGCCAAACTTATTGTTATTTTATATAAATTAAAACCTTGTGCTCATGTAATTTAAGTGTTATTTTTGGTGTTTTTTCAATGTAACTGTATACATTACTGGCACTTCTTGATAATTTGAAGTCATTAATTACTGAAAATATATGTAACTAATATAAAATTCATTGTCAGTTTATACAAATAGTCTTAACTTTATACATGTATTGCACGACCCTTATTTTAATATGAAGTGTACTGCATGCAAATCTAGGAACGTATTTATATATTATCTGTTTGCAGAAAGAAGTTACTTTTATCAGTGCCTTTGTGCACATTATGTGGAGAATCTGAATAATTTGAAAAAACAATAAAGAGAAACAAATGAAAACCACACACTTTAAGATTCTGAACACAGTTTTGCCATATTTGGTTATAAATGATTGTCGTCATGAATTTAGTATATATTACTGCTTAAAACGGCATGTATGATTTAGTTTGATAGGAGCTGTACTGAAGACTGCTACTGCTAATATTCTTAAAGTTTAGTACTAGTTCATACAAGAAGTTATCGGTACATGTGCAACTTCGCTAACATACAAAACAAGCAATATATTTATGATAGTGTTTATTTAAGAAAAAAAATTAATAAATCTGATACATAGGTATAGTTCATCTAATTATTATTTTTATTATTATAATTTCATAGTCAAAGTTGTAAACCTGTTCATTATGAACCTTAAGAGGTTTTATATGTTTTAAAAATTATATTAATATATTGTAATTTGTTATTCATTGAATCATCTGACTCATGAAATGATTGCATTTAGCTAATTGATTATTCTCACTTGAAACTTGGATAATTGTAATAATCAAAAACATAAATTAATTTAATCATAATCTTGATTAATTGATCACCTTGCATGACAGTAACAATATAATTGATGCTTATTATATTGAGTTAATCGTCCTGCTTTAATATACTGTAAGTTTAGATCAAAGGCAGTTCATGTTTAATGATACTGTAATTGTTTATAACAATAATATTTTATGCTCTTTAAACGTGAATAATTTTAGTAAATATAGTTGATTGAATTGTAAGAGTGATTGCATAGAATAATTTTGTTTATTGTTTTAGCTGTTGCAGCCAAAGCACCAAGAAAAGCTCTTAGTACTTCTGCTGCTGGATGTAGTTCATCCATGTCTTCCCCAGCAAGATCAGGTGTGTATAATAATCTTTTTGTCATAAAAACTGAATTACTATAATGATATATCAATCGTTAACATCAACATCTGATTCTTGAAATTTAAATATTTAGATATACACCAAGTTTCAAAAGTCAAGGAAAGGACAAGATCTACCCAGAACTTTTCTATAGAGACAAATATACATAGAGTAACAACCTATAGATTACAAATAAAAATGTACATTTTGTTTAAAAAGTTTTGTGTTCTGAATCTAGTTCACACTTATGAAAGAGCTACTCAAATAATGATGTCTAAAACAGATCTTACTATGTATGAAAAAAAATATTGTTAAAACTAGAAAAAACTGTTCTGCTAAAAAATTTAAGGGAAACGAGTTCTAAACCAATAGATTTAATTAATAAGGGAAGAGGCTGGCTATCGATAAAACCACATGAAAAGAAACATAAATACATATGTAATAAAATAAGGAAACTTATTCATACCAATGTTTGTTCCAGTGATGCATGCCACGACTCCTGTTGGTTATGTTTCAATAATGTATGCTATGATTCCTGTCGTTTATGTTTCTAATGAATGCTGTAACTCCCTTATAAATGTTGTTTCTTTCTTGGGGAAAAATTCTGCATGAAAGACTTTTTTTAGTTCATCACTTCTTGAGGTTTTTAATTTTACTTTTTTGTATTCTTAACCTTTGTTTTCTTGCAGTTTTATTTTTCATACAAGTTAATTGATGAACTAATTTATATAACATGTATTACTCTTGCTGAAGTTATTTTTTCTAAAGTGACTCATTTTATCTGTGTTTATCGAGCAAGTGTAAAATTTAATTGTAATGAATGCAACAAAAATCATTTGTAAACAAATTTCTTGGTGTTTAATGGTGGATTATACAATACATTAGTATAAATGTTTTACTGTGAGGTTTTCTTTTGTTACAAGAACAGTTTTGAAATAATGTACTATGTTTGGACAAAGGTAATCAGTGTGTACTGTACTTCAGTTTGGATATTTATTTCATAACAGTGTGAAAAATAAAAACTTAACTTTTAGAGAAAACTAAGAAAATTTTCATATATATTTCATGTTGTTTCTAGAATGCTGTCCTATAAGTCCAATTAAAATAGAAAATTCTGTCATCATGAAGTAGGTAAACATATAATCATAAAATTAATAACAGTTATAAGATAAAATAGGGTGATTCAGATTATTTCATCACTGTTCATTGATCTAGAAAGTTTCATATTGTTGCGTCATCGAGTCACATGACTACTGTGACGCAACGTTTCTAGAACTATCATGTACTTTGGCGAATGTTCTAGTTCTTACTAGATATAGGGTAGGCTGGTATATAAAAGAGGGGAATGTAATGTCTGGGTAGATAGTGAGTAATTGAACTGCATGAGAGACGTTACAGCGTTTGTTTAGCCCGATTGTTGAAGTTGAGTGTATTGGTAAAGTTATATTCGGAAATAATAAACCAGTTTTATTAAGAAAGAACTTGTGTCGCTTAAGTTTCGTCGGAACGAAGTTACGGAAAGTTAATTAACAAACGGAGACGTAACAAATTGGTGTCAGAAAGTGGGACAAAAAAACAATGGAAACGAGAAGCGGCAAATCAAACTACAGCATAGCAGACTTGATGGCAGCAATACAAGAACAACAAAAGAAACAAGAAGAACGAGAAAATAAACAAGAAAAGAATTGAAGAACGAGAAGAGAAATTACAACAGTTGTTAGAGGAAAAAGAAAAGAAACAAGAAGAACGAGAAGAGAAATTACAACAGTTGTTAGAGGAAAAAGAAAAGAAACAAGAAGAACGAGAAGAGAAATTACATAAGTAGTTAGAGGAAAAAGAAAAGAAACA